ATTTTAATCATAGCAGAGGTTGGGGTGAGGGGATTTCCAAGGTTCAGGACCCTGATTGGCTGACATTTGTCTATGGGTATAGGTGTAGCAGGGTCCTTGCTGTTGTTCCCTTTTGGGGAGGGGGCCAAGTAGGCACAGAGTCAAACCACACAGACTCCGGGAGAATGTCGAAACAAGCTCAGTTTATTCAGGAATATGTAAGCCTTATATACCCTCCACCCCTCCTTGGGGGGAGGTCTGATGAATATACATCTGATGGTGTGACATGGCTGCCTCTCATTGGTCCAGGTCATCTCCAGATCATGTTTCAGCTGCTGTAGCTGAGACCATCAGGCAGACCCAGGCTGGCTCTCAGAAAGTATCTTTTTTACTTGTTTGGGCTGTCTGGCCCTCAAGCCCCTTAGGGATGAGTCATCCCACATATAGGGAATGTTTGGAATGTCAGGTATTTCCTGTTAGATGCAGGCCCTACCCGTGGGGTCAGCTTATGGTTTTTCCTGGGTCCAGGTGTTGCCTTCGAGAAGCTATATCTGGGCCTCTAAGCCTGTCATGGCAGCTGTGTGGTCAAGCTGTTCTGGGGCCCCCACACAGAACAATAGCTGATGACTGAGGCTGGTAATTTATAAATTATCTGTATGTATAGTTGTTGACGAAATACCTTTAATAACCAAAGACACCTTTTATTTATCCTAACTTAATGCCCCAGGAGTTATCTTTTGACTGATTAAATGCAGTACAAGTCCATAGGCTCTGCTCTTTTTCTGAGAGGTGGTACACTAAAGAATTTAAGCAAAAGTTATCACTAGCTGGCAGTTTGAACTGTTGAGACTTAGATGAAGAATATATCAAGTCCAGAAAATACTGGTTTAGCATCTGTATCTTTGGGGCTGGAAAGATGACTTAGCAGTTAAGAGCATGTACTGGTCTTATAGCGAGGACCTGAGTCTCATTCTCAGTCATTGTCTGGTGGCTCAACCCCCACTGTAATTCCAGCTACAGGTGTTCTGATACCCTCTGAAGGCATCTCATGTGCACATGCTCCCAAACAGGCACATATATACACATAACTAAAAATAATAAAATTAATGATTTAAAAAAGAATCTACAACTAGGTATGTTTTGATCAATGACTAATCTACAACACATTAAATTAATGTAACATACTTATTTTAAAACTACCTCCAGATCCTAGCTGTGTAAACTTGAATAAGTTATATAATCATTGTATGGCTCTATTTCATCTTTAAAATGAAGCTAATGATAGTTACTTTATAGGGTTGCTACTGTTGTACCCGGTTTTTGAAAACCCCAGAGACCAACAAGGAGCCTGTTTCCCATGCAAGCACATAAAGTTCCTTTTTATTGTCAGGTTTGAACCTGGGCCACCACACGGTAGATGGAGGGAAATGCTGGAGTGGCAGTGGGCCCAGGCATAGAGTATTTATAGGGAAAAACTGCAAGCTGGGAATTACACGCTTCGGCAACTTGGGGTTGGGTAGAAGGGATATGGGATAAAGTGGTTTTGGGAAACTATTGCTCTAGACTTTCAGCACAAAACCACATTTGAAGCTATTGGGTTGGACCTTTGGGCAGGGAACCACAACTTGCTCAGCAGGATTATCTAGATATCTTCAAGGGCCATAAACCGCAAATAGAATGACTGTAGGAGGGTACTGTCTTGTATCTGTTCAAGTTGTTATGGCACATTCCTGAGGTCCTTCCTGGACCTGAGTACAACAGGTGGTCTAAGATGGTGGACCTCCCTTAAGATGGAGTCTGTATTGCCTTCACAGCTACAATAATTTAAATACACTATATATTTTGAATGCTTGGCATTAGTGATATCTAGAATGCTGGTTTATCACTTATTTAAGAACATTTCAGTACAAAAGACTGAAATAAAAAGGGCAGTCAGATTAATCCTGATAAGCTAGTATATAGACCATTCTGTATAGATCTTTATCACATGAAACTTTTTTACACATAGAGTAGAACAGCAGCAATCATTGAGTTTAATGAAGTAGAGAAATTTTGTGGGAATGCTCAGTTTAGGCATTGTCTGACAAATACTAAAAATGTCTAATGT